GTTGCCAGACTGGCTTGCTTGGCCCCTCCAGTAGCATCAAACAGTGGCAGAGAAATAGCGACCTTCTCGAAGTGGTTCGCTGTGGGCGAGATCGCGATGCTGACCAGAGGAGACCTGCCAGAGACAGCACTCACGAGACGCGCGGTCACCCGCGACAGGTTGACTGGCACGACGTTCTATCCGAGGCTAGCGAGAGGCGGGCGGCGTCAGTGGCGGCGCACGCTGCGGGATGTTCTCGCGCGGTAGAAATGGCTCGAGTTGCCGCGGAGGGCGAAGGCGGCACTTGCCAACGTAAAAAACTGCGCAGGCATGGTCGCGCAGGGGCGCGGGGCGACCTGGTTGGGGCTGCGACGCCGCGGGCCAGTTGCGCAGCGAGCCGCGGTGGGCAGAGGTGCACGGCAACGACGGCCCATCCATGGGGGGGGGGGGGGGCGCCCAGGCGGGCCCGAGTCCGCGCGAAAGACTGCTCGAGGCTCCAGACCAAGGCCAAATGCGAGGCCGCTGCGCCCGAAGTCGCGTCCGCGATGCCAGCCGCAGACCCGACAATTGGATGGCGGACGGCGGCGTGCCAATCCATGTTCGGCGGGCAGCCGACCGCGGCGCTCTTCGCCAATGCGGCGGGCGCCACTGCCCCCGCCAACGCGGCGGCGCCTGCAGGGCAATGCCGCGGCCTCCTCGCGCCGCCCGAACTAGAGGCGCCATCGCGCGATGCGCCCGTTCCAGATGCTGCGCCCAGAGCGAAGGCAGCAGGTGCCAATGCCGACTCTAGCGACGGCGGGCCAAGTTTCGCCAATGCCTCGCCGACAAGGCGAGGGCTGCAGCCGCGCCGAGGAAGCGCCCTGCTGCGGCCGACGGCGGCGGGGCCGATGGCGACGACGACGGCGAAGAGTTCCCCAGCCAGCCGAACATGGCCACGCAGCGCATGGAGGCCGCGACGCCGACCAAGGGCAAGGGCGCGAAGGCCGGGGCGGCGAAAGAGCCCGCAGCGGCAAAGCCGTCGGCGCTGCCGTCGGCCCCAGAGGAGGGCGCGGCCCACTGCTACAGGATCGGGCATACGACTGCGCAGTGGGACAAGTCCACCTACGAAGCAAGGATTGGGCGATCCGACGCTAGGGCCAGGCGGGGCCGCGTCGCGCTGCACCGCCAGAGGGCTGGGTCCGCGGCGCTGGGGTGGATCGACAGGAAATATTGGCTCGTCGCGCGTCGTGTCCACCTTCCGCATTCTGGGCGTAACCGCTCCCGTGGCGGCCCGCTCGCTGGGGTGATTGCCGTGCCCTGCATGCTGGCGCCCTCTGAGCCCCACGCAGCCATTCCCGCGGACGTCCTGCAACGCTTGCCAGCGAGAACGGCACCTGGAAGCCGCAGCGCGTTGCGATCGTCGCGCGCCGCGTCTCGCCGACGCCGTGGTCGACCATCCGCCAGGATGTTGGATCGATCTGCTGGCGCGGCGTCTGCTCCGCGACCGGGGTCGCATGGCGGGCGCCGAAGCCTTGGTTGCGCCGTCTCTCTCAGCGAGCACGTTCGCGCGCACTCGGACACGCGAGAGATGTCGGCATCGGCGGGGGCGTTTCGCGGCATGTTCAATGCTGGCCGCGCCGCAATATAGTTGCCTACGAAAGGAACGAATGCGACAACATGCTGAGCTGCATAAACATACGAGCGAGTAGCGGCAAACCTTCTGAGACTTGGGTGGGCAACCCTGGCCGAGTTCACCATGTCACCTGCGAACATATCAAACCTTTCATGGAATTGGCGCGCTGCCAATTGCCCAAACACCCGTGCCCCATAATAGACCATGGAACATCATTCTCTGGTTTGATTGCCCCCCCCCCCCTCCCTGGGAAGCCCTGGCCGAGGGCATAGATTATCGAGGGGGTAGTGCCGCGTACTGGAGCTATGCTGTGTTCGACGAACTCTTGCAGGACGAACGCGCGCGGCGCACAGTCAGCGCCGCCCGAGTTGCCAACGTGCCTGGGGGGATCGGGCATTCGTTGCGCACTACCCTTGACGACCTCTTATATAATTGGTCGGGCGGCGTGAACTTCGAGACGACTGGCGCTGTCTGGGCAGCGCTGGGCAACGCCGCGGCGCGCGCGACTCTGATCGCGATCCTGTGCACATCCCGACCTGCACTTGACAAGTTCCAGCGATCTACGTGACACTTTCGGACGGCATCGCGTGCACTTGTCCCGATGAAAATAGCAAAACACGTGTTAGCGCTGAACTTTTTGACGCGTCGCATGTCGGAAGATCCGTATGAATAGCAGTGTTGACGTTGTAGCGAGGTTGTCCCACATGCGAAACATGATCGCAGACAAATCAACCACACAATTTGTCATCAAACAAGCATGTAACCCCCCAAAAACCGAACTCTGCGAACTAGTTGTACCTATCTTACAAGCCCCGCCACTGGTTAATAACAGACCAACGCCCCTAGGTGAATCATGTTTTCCCAACCATCCTTTGGTGTTGGGTCCTCGTTTTGAAGAGACAGCGCCCGCGTCCTCCTTCGTTCTCCTCCCGCTGCCTCCCCTCCCTCTCCCCATCCTTGCCTCTGCCCCTTGCTTGTCTCTGTTTCGGCGAACCCCTCACACGGCTCGTGGCCCCATAAGGAGCTCCACCGAAGGCCCCAGTGGCACAGTTCGCATGCAGTTCCACCCCTATGTCGGCGCACCCCACACGGTTCGTTGCCCCACAGGGAGCTCCACCGAAGGCCCCAGTTGCAAAGTGGGCATGCAGATCCACCCCCATTTCGGCGCACCCCTCACACGGTTCGTGGCCCCATAGGGAACTCCAACACAGGCCCCGGTTGCAAACTTCGCATGCCGTTCCACCCCATTCCGGCGAACCCCTTTCACACGGTTCGTGGCACCACAGGGAACTCCAACAAAGGCCCCAGTGGCAAAGTTAGCATGCCGTTCCACCCCCATGTCGGCACACCCCTCATACGGTGCGTGGCCTCATAGGGAGATCCACCGAAGGCCCCAGTAGCACAGTTCGCATGCAGTTCTACCCCCGTTTCGGCGCACCCCTCACACGATTCGTGGCCTCATGGGGAGCTCCAACAAAGGCTCAAGTGGCAAAGTTCGCATGCAGTTCCACCCCCATTTCGGCGCACCCCTCACACGGTTCGTGGCCCCATGGGGAGCTCCACCGAAGGCCCCAGTGGCAGAGTTAGCATGCAGTTCCACCCCCATGTCGGCGCACCCCTCACACGATTCGTGGCCCCATAACTAGGGAGCTCCAATGAAGGCCCCAATGGCACAGTTCGCATGCAGTTCCACCCCCATTTCGGCACACCCCTCACACGGTTCGTGGCCCCATAAGGAGCTCCACCGAAGGCCTGAATGGCAAAGTTCGCATGTAGTTCCACCCCCGTTTCGGCGCCCCCCACACGGTTCGTGGCCCCATACGGAACTCCACCGGAGGCCGCAGTTGCAAAGTGGGCATGCAGTTCCACCCCCATTTCGGCGCACTCCTCACACGGTTCGTCGTCCCATGGGGAGCTCCACCGAGGGCCCCAGTGGCAAAGTTCGCATGCAGTTCCACCCGCATTTCGGCGCACTCCTCACAAGGTTCGTGGCCCCACAGGGAGCTCCACCGAGGACGGTATTTACCATTGCGTTACTGACAACTGCATATGGTTGGGTCTTTCGCCAGGATACTTGACGGTCCCGAAACGCGGTAAGGGCCCCCGGAGGCCGAAACTGGCGAAACAAAACCGTCACGATTTTCTCATAACGCGAGGGGGTCATGGAACAGCGCAGCTCTCGCCGTGACACACACACACACACACTCACAGGACCCTGGGTGGGGGGCTCAACAGGGTGCGAGCCTACGCAGCGTCCAACGGGACCTCGCCCATGGATCGATCCAAACAGTTGTTCGATTTCGTCGTGTTGTCGATTTCCCTCGTTTTGTCTTCAATCCGCCTCTGCCGCAAACCGATATCAAAACGACAACGGCCCGCGAAATCGCAAAAGCACCGTTTAGATCGACGCCTTATCTCGCCTTGCCAACTTCGTGAGTGCAAATGTCCAACGGAATACGGGCCTACGCAAGCCCAAACGGGACCTCCCAGATGGCTCTCGATTCTCAAAAAGTATTTCCGCAGCTGCATCTCACCGAGAGCCTTCGGGTAACAGCACCGTGCCGAACGGCCGCCTGAGGAAACCGATCGGAGGGAAGGAGTCTTTACATCCATGGCTAGCGAAAAAACACGATCAACGATTTTGCCGTGTTTCGGGTACCTGGCCCCCGCGGGCCGATCTGGCTCAAAATGTCCCGCACAAAGAATCGGTCGGGAACCGAGGAAATGTTGATAGGTTTGTGTGTGAGGCGCTGTGATTTTTTACGTCGTCGGATCTCGGAACTCTTTCTGGACTGTTATTGTGCGATGGCGCATCGTTTTGGCTTGAGGCCCCTAAGAGAAACGAAAGATGACGCAGCGCACTTCTTCGCTGCAGACGTGATCAAGAATCAGTCCTGGAGGAAGCGAGGGGAAGATGAAAACTGATGGGGGAGGTCGTCGTGCGCACAAGCTATAACGCGCTGAGAGAGCAGAAGGGCCTCGAAACATATAGTAACAACATCCTGCTTGCAGCTTGCCGCGCCACAGTGCAATGTAGCACGCCCGACCTGGCCGGATAATAAGCAAGGCTCTGCCAGGAGGGATGTCTAATTCAACCTCCCCGCTGATGCAACCTAACAAGATGGGCGGGCGGCTCTGCCCACTGCTCTGAAACACGAAGGCTGGATGAGGTACGTAGGCCAGGACCTGGTTGACGCTCAAAGACTGACGCCCACCGTGCCATCTGGAAGCGCTCCAGAGCCGCGACCGCCTGCTGCCTGCTGCGAACACCGCAGCTCATGATGCGTGACTGCAGCAAGGTGTGCGTGATCCGAGCGACAACCGCATCATACATGGGCCACGCTGCGAAACAAATTGATGCCAAGCACTACCCTAAACTTGCCCAACGCCCGCCGCGGCCCGCCAGTGCCTGGCAAGGTGCAGTACAACGCAGCCACGAGAGGGTACGTGAGGATGTACCACGACATGTTCCGAAAAGACCTCTCCAGCCCTTGGCTCCAAGCTGTAAGTTCTGCCCCTCCTGCTGGTGGTGCTGTGGCTGTTTCCCCCTCTCCTCCCGCTCCTCCTCCTGCCTCTCCTGGTCGTCCATCCTGCTTTTCCTCTTGGTGCTTCTCCTCCAGGGGAGGATAAATATTGAGGATCAAAGCATCTGGGCATTCTTGTTCTTGTTTAATTTTTATAAAACTGCACCTCCCCACCACCGCCACCACCGAGGCCAGAGTGAATGGCATCCCTGCGACCATCTCCCAACCATCCTGTGGTGTTGGATCCTCGTTCTGAAGAGACAACGCCCCGCGTCCCTCCCTCCCGCCTCCTCCTCCCCATCCTCCCTCCTCCCATCCCTAGTCCCTGCCTCTGCCCTCCGCACCAGTCAAATTTCCTGGCGCACCCCCCACACGCTTCGTGACCCGACAGGGTGCTCAACCGAGAGCCCCAGAGGCAGGATCCGCATGCAGTTCCACCTCTATGCCGGCGCACCCCTCACACGTTTCGTGGCCTTACAGATCCCAATAGGGTGCTCCACCGAAAGCCCCAATGGCAGGGTCCGCATGCAATTCCGCCTCCATGCGGCGCACCCCTCACACCCCCCCAAACCTGCGCGAGAATGCGGCTTCGTCTTCAAAACTGAAAGGTGCGAACCGAACGCGCCATTTCACCACGAAGCGCCGGATAGGCACAAAACCTGCTTCTGCGCCGAAGCGAACGCGAAGACGGCGACGACGACGACGACGATGACGACGACGAAGACGACAACGACAGCAACAACGATAATTTCAAGACTGTTCGCTCTTACTGGCACGCGTGTTTTGCATTCTGTATACCCCAACCCTCGATACCCGCCCACTTCGTCTTCGATCGCACCCCCTTTCGGGGAGAATCTATTCCTTGTCGGCCACTGAGTAACCGGCAAAAAAACGGCAACATGGAACCGGTAAAAAGACGGCCCTGTCGTTTCCAGGGCCCACTAAGCCACTGACTGGAGTGCGAAGAACTCTCGAGCGAGAGCGGCGTTCCTGAGTTCAGGGGCTTCTCGGGCCGGGCCAGGGCCTCTCAGAATACATATTGAGAAATATCGAAGGGGAATCCAGGAATCCAGGAACAAGGATTCCGAATCCTTGTCACCGTGTCTGGGCCTCCACCACTTTGCCTGAATTGCGAGACAATCTCAAGCGAGAGATCCACTCTTTAGTTCGGGGGCCTCTCTGGCAAGGGCCTCTGCGAATACATCTTGCGGAAATATCGAACGAGAGCCCTTGTCGTCGTAGTTGGGCCGCCACCAATGTTTCTGATTCGCGAGAAGGTCTCAAGCGAAAGCGCCGTTCCTGAGTTCGGAGACCTTCCTGGCCAGGGGCTCCTGGAGTGAATCGCGATGAAGTATCGAACAGGAACCCCTGCCGTCGTGGCTGGGCCTCCGCCAACTTGACTGAGTTGCGAGGAAGTCTCGAACGAGAGCGCCGTTCCTGAGTTCGGGGGCCTCCCTGGCCAGCGTGTCTCGGGGTAAACTGTGAGGAAATATCGAGCGGGAACCGTTGTCGTCGTAGCTGGGCCTCCAAGGGCACACCATCACACTCGAGCGAACGCTCGCGCGGGAGCCTCTTTTCAGAGACAATGTAGCCGGCGTCGAGGCGAGAGAGCGCGGAACCGCTTCCGGAGACACGCGCTGATCATTCTTTAGACATGAATGCTCAACGACAACGACGACGACCACTTCGAGACAGTCCGCCTGCGCGCACCACAACCGCATGGGTGTTGCGGCTTGCGGGGGCGCTGTGTCGCCGGCGCGCCGAAGTTGCGCGACGCCCCCCCTACAGAAAAAGGGCGGTGACGACGACGATTTCTAAGCATGCTGCCTGCACGCGCAACAGCCGACAGGGCGCCAGCGCGCGCGCGGCAAGGACGCCCCACCCCCAACTGCGCGGATGCGACATGGAAGAGGAGGAGGAGGAGGAGGAGGAGGAGGAGGAGGAGGAGGAGGAGGAGGAGGAGGAGGAGGAGGATCTCCGGCGCGCGCGCGACGGCCCCGACTTAACCCGAACCGCCCCGGAGCCCCAAACGCTCGCGATTCGGGGGGGGGCCGTCGCGGGCGGAAAGGCGATATGTTCCAGCGGGGGGATTGGCAGGAAACTGGTAAGAAGAGGAATGCGACAATGGAAAATTGGAGCGGGGCAAGGACGCGGCACGGAGGGAAAGGACGATCAGCGGAAAGAAAATGCAAGAGAGGCCATGACAGAAAATGATACATGGGCGCGGAGCAGACGCGCGAGCAGAAGGCGAACCTGATGAAGGGGTGCGCGACGCGGAACGCCACAGAAACGCAGGAGGACTCGGAAGTGGGGGAGGCGAAGGGGCGTAGGAAGTTGGGAGGCGCGCGAGGAATGGCGATGAAGAGGGGGCGAGGAGGACGAGGAAAAGGGGGGGCGAGGAGGACGGGGAAAAGGGCGGCGACGAAGACGAGGGGGCATACGACAGGGATAACGCGAAAGCAAGAACACAAACGAGCGATGATAGGGAGGAGAAAAAGGAAGAGGAGGGAGGGCGAAGACGAGGGCGACGGCGAGGAATGGATGGAAAAGCAAAACAGAGAACACAAGGCCATGGGTAAGGGAAAAAAGCGGGGCGAACCGGTCATGAAATGAGGAAGGTTCAAGGTCGAGAGGCCACCGTCGGCGCCCGCGTTCGGAGCCGCGCAGCCGCCGGCGCCCTTCCCTTGGCAGCCCGTCGGAAACCCGCGTTGGTTTTCGCGCTCAGACTTGGGCGCGGCGGGGGGGGCTCCCCAGGAGATCCTCGGAAGGCCTTGCAGGGGCTCCTGCAGAGGCTCCCAATGCCATCTCTCATGCTCCTCAAAGGCTCATGAAAGGCGCCTGGAAGGATCGCAAAGCGGTCCTGGGGTTTGTCTGCACGAAGCTCACTTCCTGACGAGGAGCTCTGAGAGCTTCTGAAACGATGTCGAGAGGCTCCTGAAAAGCTCCCAAGAGACTACTGGAAAAAATGCCTTTTCATTAAAAAAAAACGGTCGAAGATGGCCTTGAGCGCGCCTCGCGTAACCGAGTCCCACCTCAAAATCCTGCTTGCGTCGACCGCGCACCTGCTCCGAATCTTGCCCGTCGACGGCCCGAATGGGGCTCTGAATCGCGCGGAGCCAGACCTCCGAATCTTGCCGGCCGACGTTCGGAATGGTGATCCGCACTGTAAACAACAAGACAGAAGATAATTCACCGAACGTTCGCTAAATATTCGGCGATGTGAATCTGCCATCTTTCGGGGCATCTTTCGGCGGCGTCTTTCGGTGGCATCTCGGGGGGGCATGCCCGGCGCGCGCAGGCGGCCTGTGTGCCTGGGGCCCCACGGACCCCGAGTCCAAAGCCCTCCGCTAAAGTGCGCAGAATTCCATGTTTCTGGGGGCTCGGCGGCAGCCCAAGGCGCGCGATGCCCCCGGGCCCGCTGTCGAGGGGCCCACGATACCTGGGCCCCAGGGTCAGAGGCGAAGGACCGCGGCGACCGGCGCCGAAGGGGCGGGACTTCCTGGAGCCCGCAAGGAATGACCAACGACTCCTGGGCAACATAATCGAAGGTCGAGGGCTCCTGGGGCGTAGAGTCAGGGGCCCGCGAAGTCCGCGGCGCGGCCCTGGGGCCACGGGCCCAAGGGCCTGGCTCGTCGAGTGAAAAGGGCCCGCGACCCTCGGGCCCTTGAGCCACGTGGGCCCGCGCAGCCCCGCCAGGCAAGGTTCCGATGGGGGCGTTCGGTCCGCGCGCGAATGGTTCATCGATGGCTCCCTGGATGGCCCACTAAACGCCTCAACTTCGGCCCCCGCAAACACCCCCAGGTGCGCCCCAGAGCCGAGGCGAGGCAAGAACGAGGGCGCACGTGCTCCGCGACAGCACGGAGGGCGAAAGGGCAAGCTTGACGCAGCGAGCTGGGGTCGGCTTCTGGGCGCGGGGTTCTGAGGCGCGCGCGTTCGTGCGCCCTCGCTGGGGAGGCGGCCCTAAAACGCATGGACACGCACTCTTCTGGCAAAGCTGCCCCAAAAAATCAATTCGGCGACCGCGTTTTCGATTCTATCTTAGGAAGACGCGAATCAAACGCGCGCGCAATCGCGCGAGAAAGCGCTGGGAGCCCATTCGCCCCGATGCGCGGGCCCAGACGAGGAGGAAGACGACGACAACGACGACGACAACGGCGAAGACGACGAAGAGTCCGGGCGCTGCGCGTCAACTGACGCTTGGCGTGCCCGCCGGCTGCGAGCACCGTCCGTCGGGGCATTCGAGCCTGGGAGTGGAAACTTGGTAACAATACCTGGCTCGCGCGTCTTGGACTTCGATGGAACTTGTCTGGAGGCTCGGGGGGGCCACGGGCAGCTCTGGGGAGGCTCTGGGCGCGACGGCCTATTGCACCAGATTTGGCTTATGTTGACAATGGTGGATATGGTGCAATCGACCCGCATCATAAGGACCCGCGATAAGGATGCAATGGCCTTGGACACCCATTTCGAAGCTTTTCGGACGGGCCCCGGCAAACGCAAGTGGCCAAGGATGGGCCGAGGAGGGAAGGCTGCAAGGGTACCCTTGGGAAGGTGGCCAACCTTTTCTATGCGGGCTGCCGTTACTGATGATGAGGATGACTGCGGTGGTAATGATATCGATGCCCGTGCCCGCTGCGGGGAGCCAGGTGCCTACTGAACTGGACGCGCGGCTGCCATCGCCGAGCGGCCCGTCAGAGTGTGAAGAATGTGGTAATATTCGCGTTTACGCGCATGCAAGACTTCTCGGATATGGCCGAGTCATTTTGTTTGTACTGTGATGATGATGATGATGATGATGATGATGATGATGATGATGATGATGAGGATCATGATGATATTTGCGCCCCACGTCCATGACCCGACCTCGTCATCCGTTATCCGCTCTATAGCGCTTTTTGGTTCAAGATAGGAACCATATGGAAGCTCTGCTCTCCGGTTTCTCGACG